CGGCTCCTTCCCCCCCTCTCCCCCCACCATCCCCGGAAAGATCTCAGGCTTAGGACAGCAGCTCGGTTTCTTAGGCAAAGCTTTTCAAATTGGGGCAGCTTAGTTTAGGGTCCGGTTTTCAGATGCCTGCAGCCCGTCACCCCCTGCAGTTCATGGGAACAGCACCCCCTCAGCAGCTTTGGAAGTGACGTTTGAACCATTGGGCTTTTCAAATGTCTCAGCAGTGCCACCTGGAGGCCTGGGCCACGACCCACCCGGCCTCCTTTCGGAAGAAACCCACCGCAATCCATGCCAAAGCAAGAGCCATTTATGGAGAATTATTCCTCTTCCACCTCCAGCCACTCCCCTCGTGACACCAGCACATTGGTGCAAGACACGGGAAATTCTTCCTTTGTCTAGGGCCCAGAGGTGAGGCGCCCCCAGAAAAGCCAGGAAGCGGGGGCGACGATTAGCTACCACACCCCTGAAGAAAGCCCATTGGCACTAAGCTCCCCTCCCCACGACCCTACAAGCAGAGGCAGATGTTGCACAGGGAAGGCTGAAGCTAGGGAACTCAGCCCAGGACTAGAGGGTGCGGTTAGTGCCTGGCATAGTTTGACCCTTGGCCAGCCTGGGAGTAGCTGCAGTCTCTCTTGCCAGGGAAGACTGCCAGCACCCAGAAGTCAATCTTGGCAGAGAAGGCAGTTACAGCCACTCCCAGCAGCTAGATCTGGGAAGAATGGGCATTACCCTTCCCAGCCCAGAGACAGGTTTTCAAGAGCTGCCAACCTGCCAGGCAAAGTCCTTCCACTTGGTTTCCTCTGCATTTCACTTTAGCAGTGAATCCTGTTAGCAGGGAGTGAAATCCCAGGCCCAGCCAACCCCCCTTGACATGAATTTTGCAGGCACGTTCTCTAGAAATTTTCATGCGGCTCACGGCAACCTCTCCCGTCTCGCAGCGTAACTGTAGACACAGCCCACTGGATTTATAGCCACGTCTACGTGAGGAATGAGGAGTGGCACTTATCAGAGAGCAGACTTCAGACATTTACTTTGGGCACCCAAGAAAGGGGACACACCTAGCTGGCATTAGTCACATCAGTTAGCTGAGTGAGCTGGGGCAAACCCTCAGCAACAGTTAAGTGGCCTTCCTTTGCTTGAGGTAAGGAAACATTTCTAATGCCGTGTGGAGACCTGGCCCCTGACATCTTCCTCCATTTCAATCACAAAGGCAGGTGTGCTACAGTCACATGAAGAGCTGCCGTTAGTCAGAAAATGCAAGGGGGACATGACCTGTTTTTCCAGTTAAATGGAATTAAGTCAGTTGCATGTGGGGCCACCCAAGCACCAACCAACCTTCACTTTGTTTTCCCAGCTAAACAAAGCAATCCCTCTCCTTCTTAGTGCTGCCGTGACCTTGGAAAGCAGCAAGCCCACTTGCAGCTCATTAGAAACTCACCCATGAGATTCCTGGCACGTTCAACTGAGGGGCAGGCAAAGTACGTGCTAGCCAAGACAATTCTGGGCCGCTGGCTAGGTCCTAGTGAAAGCTTTAGAGCTCAACACAAAGCGGCAGACACAGGCGTCCATAGGGAGCTGTGTATGGCAGCAGGACTGGGTAGGCACAGTGGCAAACTTTGCTCTCCCCGGATCATGAGAATCCTGTCAAAGTTTTGGTACCCGCAGTCCTTTTATTTGTACAGAAATGGAGGCGACTGATACAAGGTCACAGACCACAACACTCAGGGCTAAGCTCCACGCAAAGCTCTTTCCCCAGCTCAATCCTGGTTGGGAGGAGTCCATGGGTACAGATGGAGAGGAGCACTGGGTACTTAATCATCACCCCTCTTCCCCCACCAAATGCCCATTCTACATCCATATGATGCTCTACTTCATGGGTAAGGGACATACCACCAGTTTACACTTATGGGTAATGCAGGGTTTTGGCTTGTACTGCTCTGCTCACAAGGTACATCTAATGCTGGGAGGAGTCTTGCCACTAAGCTAGACTCCCTGGTGGGGGAGTACTGGGATTGCCAGCCCATAACCCGGGCTACGTCTAGACTGACAATTTTCCGCAAATGCTTTTAACAGAAAAACTTTTCTGTTAAAAGCATTTGCGGAAAAGAGCGTCTAGATTTTTGCGGGAAAGCGTCCGTGCCAATCTAGACGCAGTTTTGTGCGAGAAAGCCCCGATCGCCAATTTCACCATCGGGGCTTTTTTGCACAAAACAATACTGCGTTGTCTACGCTGGCGCTCTTGCGCAAAAGCATTTGCGCAAGAGGGCTTTTGCCCGAACGGGAGCAGCATAGCATTTCCGCAAGAAGCACTGACAATCTTACATGAGATCGCCAGCGTTCTTGCAGAAATTCAAGCTGCCAGTGTAGACAGCTGGCAGATATCCATCGAACTACACAAGTAACAGTGGCCGAAAGACTAGTTAAAAACCCTTCCTTTACACAGCTGATTCGCTGGTGGTAATAGGTGAAGTCTGATGGCATATTCAGGTGGAATGTCTGTGCATGTATTGAAAAGCAGCTGCAAGTCATAGGCTTTGATGTCTGACTACAGATTTCTATGGAAACAGGGACTTTTAGGCAGGGTAGAGTTGTCTCCTCTCAAGTCAGTAGAAAGAAAATGGCTCAAGTTTGGGAAACATGAGGCCGTTTCCATCCCTATTCCATTGGTCCAAGCCACTGATCAGAGACCCGAATTTGTCTGAAGACGCTAGCAGAAAGAATAAAGCTTGGTGACTTGGCTGATGGTTAGAGAAAATTGAGATTGTGATGTTTCCTACAATGTAGACCAACAAGAAGGGGAACCACACTCTTCCCCCCATCCCACTATACAGTGTTGAAGCCAGACTTCTAGAAACCTTTACTATTACACTTGTGTGTGACAAGATTGCTCAGCCAAGAGAAATCCTTACGACTTGATTTATTTTGGATCATTTGTACATATCAACTACATCTCCAAAGTCTACTGTATTCTACAAGACAGACAGCTTCCCTACCATTAATGAACCCCTGGTTTAGCATGTTTGCTTTACATAATTCATTGATATATTAAACAAGGAATGCTTGTCGAGTTGTGGCACTTGTATGGCATCTACACAGGAGAGCCTTCAAAAGCTACGATTAGGGAGCCTCCTAGCTTCTCTTGTCCATTTGCTTGATGTTCGTGCTTTATGCCTAGAAGAAAGGCAAAAAATTCAGTGATTCAAGATTCCTCCATACATCAGAAATTCTCATTAGAAACTTGTGTATGTAGCCAAGTGTGTTCGGGTGGATAATCCAGCAATTTGAGCACATGGCAGTCCTGCCTAGAATTCTAAGGGATTTGGGTGCTCAGATGCCATTGAATTCCAGCAGGAGTGGAGTACTTCGTGATGGGCAAGCAGAGATATTTGAAGTATCTGGACACATTGGGGAACTGGGTACTTGGACTTCACAATTTCAGATTCTGTCAGAGCAAAACTGGGAGTTTCAGAATTATAAAGAGCCATGGAAGTGGCAGGGGACTCTGGGTGTGGGCAGCGGACGAGGCATGGACTAGTTAACAGTGGAGCCATGCTCCCGGAGAGGGACTGGGGCAGGGATCTCAAAAGCAAGCTTAAGAAATAGCTAAAACAAAACACCAATTGAAAAGAGAGAGGCACAGACCAGTACAGTGAAGAGAAGAGTCAGTCCCCTCAGTGTATCAGCAAGGCCCGGTAGTTTGGGGAGGGGATGCCTGCAAAAGGCACTACCTGCCCCTTCTGATGGAGGGAGGCCTGAACTCCTGCATGTACCACACACACAGGACCACTCCCTGGCTGAGAGCATTTCACTTTTGGGGCTCTGTACTAGGGATGGTAAATATCAGTTAACTGAATAGTCGAGCAACCTCATGAATTCTTATCAGTTGTCGACTATTCTATAGTCCCCGTGGGTGGGGCTGGCAGCCAGTGCGCTCTGGCCCCCCTCCCGAGGACGCGCTGCTGTCTCTGTATGGGGCAGCAGTGTGGAGTGCCAGGAGGGAGCTGGTCCATGTGGGGAGCCTGCCACCCTGTGCTTCTGCCTCTGATAAAGGGGCAGCAACAGCCCCTGTTTAGGGGAGGGTCTGAGCTCCTGGAACCAGCACGAGCCGGAACAGAGCCAGGCTGCCTGCCTGCCCGGCTCCTAATTCACTCTAAATGCAGAGCTGCAGTGGGGTAGGTCCCAGACCCAGCGCAAGCCAGCACTGAGCCGGGCTGCTGGCCAGCCTGCTTTGAAACATTTACAGGCGGGGGTGGGAAATAGCATTAACCTATAAGCTATTACATCCTTACTCTGCAGGCCACCTGCCAACCGCAACTGGTTGTTCTACACTGCTGCATCCTTGTCCCCTGCTGTGCCACTGCAGACTAATGTCAGTCAGGAGCAAGTTTAGGCGTAAGGTGCCAATATCTGTTTAATACTAAACTCACTATGATGGATTGGAGTTTAGTATTCATCAGCTGAAAAATGTAGGAAGTGTGAAGGTTAAAGTCGAGGGGTCATAAGACAGCAATAAGCAGTGGGGTATGCAGACCTGGTCCACTGGCGAGTACAGCTGCTGACTCTCCTTTAGCAACCCAGGCATGCATCCTGGTTGCTTACTTGCTACCTTAGACCCCTTGAAGAGCAACATACTAAGGGAGGATATTGAAGGTTCAGTATCTCACAACGTGCAGGACTGAAATATCCTGAGCTACACGGACAGCTGCCAATCAGATCCAATTTAGTAGTAAAAACCCCTTCCCCCCCATTCCCATGTTGGGCCACTGACACTTGTCAAAACAGTAGTTATACTTAGATTTCATATTTTGAAAGATCTGCTCTGACATGGCCTAATGGGGTCTTGCCTCACGCTCCAATGCACGAGCAATTCAAACACTTTTTTGCCGTTGTGTTTTAATCGGGTCTCATGAAGTTTCACTTGCTAAATAAATACTCCACGTCTACCAGCATTTCTTAATAAACATCAGTCAATTAGCAGCACATAAGTCCGGTGTCAGCAGTTCGATGGTGTACGACTGACTGAATTGGACCAAGTTGGGACATGCTGCCTGTATTACATACCTGGAAACTTCTTTTTGATTGCATCCTTAGAGCTTGCATAGATCATCTTACTTTTGAGAGGTGCCTGGTCTGGTGCCCTGGTTGGACATACCAAGAGGAAAACAGTTGAGACAATGACGTTTAACATCCAACATGTATCAGAATGACAAGATCTACAGACTTGGGTGACTGAAGCAATAGCCCTGCTTGTTTAGAAGAGATGTCAAATGTTCCCAAACGCATGCAGTGTATTGGTCTGGGAAGAGTGTGTCACCATTTTGTACACTTCAGTGGCAGGTTTACTCAGCCAGCTAACCGGTATGTGTTATTTTACCTCTTATACATTAACGGAGTCCCTGAGAAAAGGCCAGGGATGGCAGATAGGTATGTACTGGTGTAAGCCATGTACTGGTGTAAGCCAAGAGACCAAGTCTCACACACAAGCGCCACATTTCTAGCTTACCACATGAAGAACATCAACTCCTCTTTTTTCGATTCCTTTGTTTCAAAGCTTGCATCGTACAAGGCGTAACGACAATCCTTTTCAGGAAGCATCTGCACAAAGTGCTTGAAAGGATCAGAAATTGTTACACCAATATCTCCCACTAGGATTTCTTTGCCTTCTTCCACAACAATGCACTTTTTGTCGTCACTGAGACAGAAGAGAACCGCCTTCTTTCTTTTTTTGATTTCCTCAGGCGTGGAACATCTCCGAACTTTCATGTCATAGAAGATACGGCATACTTCATCAGCCACTTGTACTCCTGATGCCTATGACAAAAAAAAGAGCTCTAAGTTAATTTCAGGCCTGGACTATGTACTTTACGTAACTCCTGTATAATTTCGCCATAGTGCATGCGGTTGACAAGAGTGGAGGACAAGCAATACTGGCTTGAGTATCAGAGGTTTGAGTGGCAGATAACTACTTTAAATTCCTGGTGTGACAGAAAGCCTGTATAGGAAAGTCTCTCCCATTCTGGCTTAAGTTATCTTTTAAGGTAATAGTTCCTAATGTACATAAGTTAAATTTTTTTAAAAGCAACTGATGGGAAGGTCCTACTTGCGCTGAAGGCTTTACACCAAGGACAGGAACTTGGAGCTCCAGACCTCTGTTTGACAGTCTTGAAGTGGATGACTAAGTCTGATCTTTTGGAAACACCACAAGTCACTCATTTTGAGACAGCATTCTTTAGCTACCTGACAAGTCTTAACTTGCCACTAGTTCGACTAAGCACATCTAGCACACAGGAAAATTAAACTGCACTATCAAACTCTATAGAGATAGACACATGTGTGTGGGGTTCGGGTTCAGAAGCAGTCTGCTGGAGCAAAAACACAGTTAGATTGCAATAGCGCCCCATGTGGTTTGTGAATAGGGATGTAAGAGTTTAACGGATAAGCTCATACTTCTGTTAACTGTTAAACTTGGCTGCCAGGCGAGGGATGGAACTGGTTACTGTGAGTCCGAAAGATGGGCAGCACATGAGAACCCAGGGATGGGGGAGCCCCTCCAGCACCCTTCCCGCCTTACTGCTACATCCCTGATAAAACATTTAACCAATAGAATTTTGATCTGCTACACTGTTACTGGCTTTGTATATTTTTGAACATAAGGTAGCAATGGGCAGCCTAAACTAGTGACACATTCCGAACTAGGGGTCACCAAATGAAATCGATAGAGGTTTAAAACAAACAAAGGATGCGTTTCTTCACACAACAGACTCAACCTGTGGAACTCCTTGACAGAGGATGTTGTGAAGTCCAAGATCATAAAAGAACTAGATAAATTTATGGAGGATAGGCCCATCGATGGCTATTAGCCAAAAAGGGTAGGGATGGTGTTCCTGTTAATGATTACCTGTTCTGTTCATTCCCTCTGGGGCACCTGGGGTATGTCTAGACTACATGGCTCCATTGATGGAGCCATGTAGATGAGTTTACTAGACACAGGAAAATGAAGCAGCGATTTAAATAATCGCCGCTTCATTTATATCAAAATGGTCACCATGCTGCGCTGATCAGCTGTTTGGTGGCACAGCGGGGCAGTCTGGACACGCCGCGGCCGATAAGCAAAACGTGTCCTGTAAAACCTCAATGCCCCACATGCGGCCCATGCACTGCATGCTGCCCACCCCTGACTAAGAGGTTACCACTCAGGTGCAGCTAGTGTTACATAGCAGGGGATTAACATTGAAGGCTGATGTTAGAGGCGTCTGTGTGCACGGGAGTGCCCTGTACAGTACTGTCAATTGTCTGCAGGGCTTTCACAGACACGGGAGAGAAAATATTTTAAAGGGACAGAAGAGTTTGATTGTGGCACTATGGAAGTCACAAGGCCAACCCAGGTGTGTTTAAAGCCACTGTTGCCAGCTTAGACTGATTTCAGTTTGGTACCCGTTTAAAAGTCTGATGTGACTGAAGTGGAACGTTCTTACTCATGTCAGTGTCGGGTGTGTGCGTCAAGTCATTTCATGAGGCGTCCGTGCAAAGCCACAGACAGCGTGGCTCTTCTCCTTCCTGTGCAAGAAGATTTGTTCGCACTTCTAATCTGTTAGCGTGCTCCTCTGCAGGCCTACTGATGAAGTGGAGTTGCGTAGTTGACACCAAGTGCACTATTGGTGATGAAGTCTGCGGAACTTTTATTGCTGCACTGAAGTATGAGAATGTTTGCCTTTCAGATGCAGGTAGAAGCTAACAGTGAGAAACACAAGACAGAGATGGAAAAAAGCCCTGCTTCCGTGAGCAGAGCGGCCTTTAAGGATTAGGGATGTAAAATTCTGTTTAATCAGTTAACCGGGATCCTTTGGGAAGGGGAGGCTGGGGGAGGGGGGGCAGCCCTCCACCTGTGGTGTGGTGGGCCAGACTGGGTCGGAGCAGCCTCCCACCTGCAGCCATTAAAGCATAGGCAGGGGCTGCTCAGGCTGGGCCAGGCCCACTGCAGGCAGGGAGCAGCCCCCCCACCTGTGCCACGACTAGGGATATCAGTGGTTAACATCACCCTTATCGGGTGACACTAACCAGTGGCCCAGTGGGACCCACAGGACCCCATTCAAATGATTAACCAGTTAAACGTAATATTTAACTGATTAAACAGGATTTTGCGTCTTGTGTCATGGGGCTGTGGGCCCAGCCAGTCTGGAGAAGCCTGGTTAACTGGTTATATCCCTATTAAGGGCATAACTTTACTCTCCCCTCCTCCTCCCTGACAGAGGCACACACACACAAAAAAAAGACAACTCAAGCTACTCAGTTACAAACTGTAGTCACACAATGGGCATTAGATAGCGGGTAACAGAATAGTTGGCTAACCACAAGGTTTCTTAGTGATTAACCCCTGTCCATGGGGAGCTTGGACCGCTCGCGAGCAGGGGATGCAGCCATGAAGCAGCCTCTGCCCATGGCAAGCCTTCACAGCAGCCTCCTCCTCTTCCCTCACTGCTGCCTCATACAGAAATGCAAGTGGTCGACTAGATAGGCCTAGGCCTATCGGTTAATCATCTAGTCGACTACTCACAACGCATGTTAACTCCCTTGTCCAGAGACACCTGCCAGTGTGTCTAGAGCTGGATTTCAGGATTTCTTACGTGAAATACCTCCTAAGTGCCATTCTGAAAGCACCATTTATAAGCCACCTAGAAGAAGTGAGCAATAGAATCTGTTTCAGGAATCTACCATGTCAACATTACAGTTGACACTTGCATCTTTCAACTTTACCCGATACAATATTTTGAACTTACAGCCTATGAAATTTGAACTAGACGGACAGTACTCTACCTCCTACATTACATATGCAAGTGGCAAAAGCCATATGGCTTTATGGACTCTCAACCTTTGCTCCATCTCCTATATGGATCTACTTTCCTAAATCCAGACCTACTAGTGATATTACTGCACTACCTCTGGATTAAAGCACACAAATTTAGAAGACCAGAGAAAAGCTATAGTAGAGCTATTAGCCTATCAACAAAACAGCCAAGAGCAGAAGGTTCTCATTTATACACAGAGCTGGAATTCACCTTGAGGCAAGAAACTGCTTGTTTTCTTACAAACAAATCTGACACTGCAGGCATGTTATTTAAGATTCAAAAAAGGGCAAGCGTGTTCAATTTGGGAACGCAGGTTGATTGTTTAACAGTGGATCTTGAAAGGATCTCTGCTAGAGGATGTAAACTTTGCACCAGCAAGTGCTCTTTCAAGACAACGGCCAGTTTTAGCTGCAGTATGAAACTACAGTTCAACCTGCATGTGCTTTCACAGGTCGCTTCAGTAGGGCTTTACTACTGCTTTGAGAGACTGGGAAAACTCAGTTACATCTTTTCAGTAATTAAAAGATGTGCAAAGATCCAACTGTTGCCAGACACTGGATTTCTCGGAGAAGACTTTCACCTCCTCGTATGAAGTTACTGGTACTTAACCCCGCCCAGCACGTGGAACACTGGAGAGGAGCACATACTCACCTTGCTATTCATGCTGGCTTGACATGGCAAGCAAGATGCAGCAATATCACTGTTAACACTGCAGGACTAGAACAGAAGCATATTCCGTTTTACTACATCCTGAGCGTCGACGTTGTTAGCCAAACTTTAGAAGTATGGCTGCTTATTTAAAGTGCTGACTTTATGGGGGCAAGCCAAGCCACAGCTGGAAAGTGTTCCAATTTAGCATATACAGTGAGGCAAACACTGACTGATTCCCAGAACAAAGAAGCATGTGACCAGCCTGATCTGCTTCTACAGATGCCCGCTGCAACAGCCCACACCTTGGGTGGCTGGTGAATTCCCAGCTGTGGAAGGCTAACACCCGGCTATCCCCTTCCCCAAGAGCCCACTTCCCTTTCCTTGCTGGTGCTTTGCCTTCCCACAGCCACCAGCTCCCCCTGCTTCCAGTGGCCCCCAAGCCCTCTCCTTTTAACTTAAAGACCTGCCACCTGCCTCTGCTGCCCCAGGGGCCCACTGCCCAGCACAGCCGGCTGCCTCTGGAGTTAACATCCCAACCGTGAGCACTGGGCAGTGTGGCCCCTGTGGCTGTCCTGCCAAGTTGGGTAGCCCCAGACCTCTTCCCTGGGGAGCTGCCTGCCTGTGACCAAGAGGAGGAGGAATGTGCGTGGACCCATGCCAGGCTGTCTAGGAAGCACAGCCTTCCCCTGCCTATTGCACATGCCTCCCATTGCCCACACACCTGTTAAAACTCCCCCTCCCCATCTTACTACCAGGAGGAGGAAAGGAAAGAAACCGTCTCCCATTTTGAGGGCAGAAGAACATAGGAGAGAAGGGGCCAGGTGGTAAAAATGCAGCAAGAGCAGAGTTTATTAAAAAGGCTAAAGTTCTACATTAGTTCAGAATGGATCCCCAAAACTATTTCCCATGCAACTCCAGGGATGTTACATAATGGAACGTGTGAAGGGATGAATGCAGCAAGAGCAGAGTTTATTAAAAAGGCTAAAGTTCTACATTAGTTCAGAATGGATCCCCAAAACTATTTCCCATGCAACTCCAGGGATGTTACATAATGGAACGTGTGAAGGGATGCATGTTTCATGGACTGCTGTTAAGCCTGCAAGTTGGAGTGCGGGGG